ACTTGTGAGTTTTATAACTTGTTATTCCGAATTTTTTCCTTCGGAGAATCATTGCTTCATAGTCAATGGTTTTGAAGCCCAAGGCAACTTTATATAATAATTTTAGACTTGGAGAATCCAGGTCACTCAGGGAGTTTAAAGCTACTCAGCTGCTTTCTGCTTTGTACTCCACTGAAAAGAAAATGAAACATAAAGTTCATGTTGGACACTGCTGTTCTTCTGTTTTACTCAATCACCAGAACATTATGAACTGAGTGAAATAACATTAAGTGCTATTTGCATTTTCACACACACACACACACGCACACACACACACACACACACGCTTCACAGTGATGGACTTCAGTTCATGCTCAGGTTCATGTTGCACAGTTGTGGGAGGCCCCTCGGTCTGAGATCCCCTTGCTTGGAAGTCTGGTGAGAGCTTCATATGGACAGTTGTTCCCCTGGTGAGACAGGGGCCTCAGGAAGGAACGTCCCTCATGCTGCGGCTGTCCTTTTTATGCAGAGAGTAGTTGGCTGTGCAGCACTGTGGTTTCGCTTCTGGCACAGAGGTACAGAGAGGTCTGGTTGGTGCTGGCTGACTCCAGGGTCGGGGGAAATCCTCACTGTTGTTTCCAGAGACACTGTACCCTTCTGTGACATCCCCTTTGTCAGTGCTGCCAACACCATTTGAATAATGGATTGGCCTCGGCCCCTGTTCCAGGTCTTGTCGATAACAGAACATTGAAACATCGTTCATATTCTGAGAACATTCTAGGATCATCTTGTCTCCTGTTTGTGTAATGTGGTGTCTTGGTTTCTGGGTGATTGCAGCATCCATGGGGCCTATTGGAGAGGTAGACACAAGGTAAAGACAAGTCTTAAGGAGTAACTTGGATCCACAAAGGAAAGGGAAAGTCTTGGAGCTGGGACTTTGCAAACCCAGGAGAGGTTGCCTCTGATTCCAGAACTCACCTGCTCCCAGGACACAAAAAGTCACACAAAAGAGGTTGAGGCTCATGGGAGGGTCAGGGCAAGAGGGAGTTGTCCCAGCTAAATGCTCTGATCCACAGGAATGAGTGAGGGAGATCAGAGGCTCTTCTCCAATGGACAGATGAGCCAGCCTAGGATGTCACTACCCCTCATCCATGCAGATTCTCCGTGGTATAGGGTTCCTTCTGACTTGAGTCAGGTGGGGTCAGCTACTCTTCTCATAGGCATTGCTTAGCATGGCTTCAGGGAACATAGGGTGTGGCTGCCACGCACTGAGTTTAGGGTGCACACCACCCCCTTGGTTTCCCACATTCCTCTGAGACAGTTGCTCTTCTGTGCACCTGACATCAAGCCTGGCTTGCCCAATTCTTTCAACTGTGGGTCTCATTAAAGTTTGGAGGGACCTCCCACTTCTTCCATAGCTGAAGGGAGGCTGGCAATAACTGAAAACGTCTTCAACATCTGCCTAATATAAGATCCACTTCTAAGTTTTTCCTAACCCTGTCCTTCCAGGCAGCTCTCCCAGACTCTCCCCAGAGCCACTTAGAGCTCAATGGTATCAGAGTGCCATCTTGTGGCCAATAACTGAAGTTTTGTCAGTGTTTTCTTCTGCAGTGGCCCAAGGGATGCTGGGAAGTATCTGCATGGTCAGCAGGGAGAATATTCCAGAAGTAGTATCCTGCAAGTTTTATGCTCAACTTCCTTAAACCCTAATCCCAACACGAATTCTAACCCTGACTCTATTCCTTTGAGTTACCATGCTTAAAATCCCACCTTCATTCTACCTAACTACTATCTCATTATCTGACAGTTACAGTCTAACTGAGATCTTCTCCCTTAAAACTATCTTCAGAAAGAGAGAGGCATAGAATGCGAGGAATGGAAGGAAAGAATATTTAATTTAAAATAAGAGGAAAGACACATAAGTTGAAGTGTAGGAAGGTTCTTCTATCTCTATTACTAAAGATAAACAAAAACTCCCCCCCACAAAGACATTCAATGTTACCTCCAAAATATAGATCAGCAAAGGACTGGGAAGATAATGATATTATCTTCAAGATGGGACCAAATGTGTATGAATAAAAAGTAAAATTGGAATATATGAAAAATATAGGACATCTTATAAGGCAATAAAGTATCATGGAGGAAATAGTATCTGACAGGAAAAATAAAAATGGATGGAATTAAGATCTGCAAAGGACATTCTATATGAGATGAATAAATTGTAGAATGTATATCAGCAGATTTGAGAAGCAGGGAGGTAAAGGATGATTCTGGAAGAAGCAGAGGAGTTGTGGGAGATAAGAACTCACTGGTCCAAATAGTATTATTAGGAAGCTGATTCTGCCATGATCGTGTGGAGAAAGGTGGCCAAAATTGGAGACAAGGTCTAGGAAGGAAGTTCCTGGAATGGCGTTTCAAGGACCGGGAAATCCCCCCAAGCCCTGGCCCTCCTCAGTCCCAGGAGACACAGAGCAACAGGGCAAGGAGTGCTTTTCTGCTGCCACAATTAAAATAAGACCAGGAAAACTCTCTTCTGAGGACTTCCCCTTCCATGGGAAAAGAAATTTAGAGTCCCGAGCCACCACAATCTCTGAGAAGTAGATTTGTGGAGACAGTCATTCTCCTTACCAGCCATGCAAGGCTCAGCACATCTCTATTGTGCCTGAGTCTGTGACATTCTATCCCAATCCTGGAGCACTGGGTTATCTCTGAGGACTCCCAGAAACTCTGATCCACAATCGTATCAGCTCTGCCAATGGCTATAAATTTCACAGATACAAACTGCAGCTTCACCCACAGAAAGGTGGAAGATGTTATCACAATATAATTATTTATAACAAATATCATGTACTCTAGCACATGGAACAACTAAAAAGGAATAGGGTCATTACTATAAAGGAAACATCCCATCTTCTTGAGTTAAAGAGTTCAGAGAAATGATTTCATATCAAAGGCTAGGGCACCAAAAAAAAGCACTCAGATGCTAGAAATCAGATTTACATAGGGAATCAGAGGAAACTGGAGAAGTTGTGAAAATATGCTTTAGTCTCATTCTCAAGACTGGCGAGTGGGAAAATGAAAACAAAATAGAGGAAATGGGTTGCTTAAATGAGGCAGAGGAAATGAAGTCTTATTGTTATCTATGTTGTATTTATCGATGAACCAGCACCAAAGTTGTAAAGACCTTTACTTCCAATAGGAAGATGGGCTTGATAGTGTTTGTACAAAACTTACAGTGTGAAGGCATAGAAGAGGCTTTAGAGGAAAGAATATGCCTGAGGAGGTAAACTTCCCAGATTCCGACAGCAAATGCAGAGGAGACACTGTCACTGCACGGAGCCAAAGCCGTGTATGTGGGCAGTGACCTTAAAGTCCTAAAGAAGACTGTTCATGTCCAGGACATTCAGCCCTTGCCTTGGAGGGTTGAGCTGCCTCTGGGACTTCTAGAACCCAATGAGCCATGATTATTTCCATCCACCAACATTCACAGCTACAGTATTTCAGGAATGAATCTATGGCCTGTTCCTACCCAAAGGACAGCTAATGTCCAAGTCTATCTCTTTTCCTTGGGAAGTGAAGAGCAAAGAACGGTCTGTTGAGAGTCTCTAGGAACTGCAAGGAAAGAAAAGTATGAAGTTTATGAAAAGGAAGGCGGTGACTTTGCCATGCTGTGGCTGAGCCTCTGGCACAGAGATACATGACTGACTCCACTCCACTCCACAGGCTGGATCTTCAGAATGGAGTACGATCCTCAGGTCTCTCAGCAGAGAACCGGTCGCTAGTCATCCCTGGTGTGTCTGGTGAATTCTTGTTCAAGAAGTAAATAAAAAACTCTGGGCCTTGTCCCAGAGTCTGTCAATACCAATAAAGGGTATCATGACCAGAAATAGGATCATACCTAAGAGCTATTGCCTGGCCTGTCTCTGTGACCCTGTGCCTGGGGGACTGGGAGACTCCAGCACCTGTGTGACCTTGTGGGGACAGAAGTTGGGAACAGTAAAGAGAAAAACAATTGTAATCATCACACACACACACACACACTGAAACTGCTTGCTTTTCTGAGGACTTCCCTGTCCCCAGGAGACAGAGGGTCACTCAGCAGAGGAGCCTGGTGCCCATGGTAGGGTCAGGACAGGAATGGGAGGTTCAGCAGATCAGGGTCCCTGTGAGCATGAGCAGAAGAGGAGGGACATCCTTTGTCCCCACAAGGCAGTTCCCATAGTGACATCATTGCCTCTATCAATTCCCAAGACCTCAGGGACACATGGATTTATATTATAACGTACTTGGATAACTAATTTAAATATTTATAAGCTCCTTATTTAGCAAAATCAATGCATGGATTGTCACTTTCTGCTCTAGTGCTGTCTGAACACAGTGGCCTCATGTTGCATCTCTAAGTTCATCTTCTCATCCACCCATCCCTCCTCTGTCTGCTGGGCATTTTTACTAGGATGTGTCAACAGCACCTTCAATACAAGATACCAAAGGTGAGTTCATTGTCTTCCCTACAAGTCAGGATCTCCTGTGAGCATCTCTATTCCTGTCACTGTCCCCTCCATCCTCCTAGGCACACATGCTCAACATTATCCATTTCTTAGGCAAGTGTGGGCATTGCGGGCTTGATTTGGCTTTCCGCTAGAACGCACTGACATATTCAGAGATACCAGGGTCTGGTCACCCAGTGGGACCTTGAATGGCAGCATAAGCAGGAGTTAGCCACAACAAAGATGAAAGTTCCGTGTCCAGTGCAGAGGAAATAGCCTTTGAAGTCTCTGAGATGAGAAGCAATGTGACACAGAGGAGGGACTAGCTGGAGTAAAGAGGGTGGGGCCAACTGTGCAAGCTGGGGCCAGAGAGGTGTGGATAGGAAAGATTTGGCAGGGCCTGTGGGCTGACTGCCCTGGATGGGAAAGGTGGGCAGGAGCAGAGACCACATGAGGGCCAGGGCTGGGGGAGGACTGTAGACAGAGACAGCAACGAGGTGCCCAGGGAGAGACGAGGGGTCTACATGTATCTACTTACCAATGACTTTCCCTCCTGGAGACATCGGCTTCAAGCCCATGACTAGAAATGTCAGAGCTGGGGAAGTACCTTCCCAGCTAATGAGGCAGCTACAGAGGAAAGATAGAAAGCAATGGTGGAGACATGTCCCCCCGAGGTCCTGCGGTCAGGGCCAGGCCTGGCTGAGACCGCCCTGGAGGTGGACCTCAGCACATTCTGGGTTCACACTGCACACACGAGCCACTTGGGGCTCCAGGTTCTCCCTGGGCTAAGAGTCTGCAAAGGGCTCAGCTGAGTCGGGGCTGCAGGGCTTGCCCCTGGCTTTTTGTGCAGAGAGGAGTCAGCCGTGCAGCGCTGTGGACTAACTGCTGGCACAGAAGTACACAGATGTCTGGGAGGGCGTAGCAGACTCCAGTGTGAGGGAGAAGTTCTCTGTATTTGATCTGGAGACTCTGTACCCATCGGGAACATCTCTCTTTTCAGTGACACCAGCACCAGCTGAGTAGCGGATCAGCCTCAGCCCATGTCCCAGGTCTTGTCGATACCAGTACATAGAGTCGTGGTTCATATCCTGGGCACATCTCAGTGTCGTGTTCTGTCCTGTCTCCAGGATGTGGAATTTTGGGGTCTGAGTGACTCCAGCATTCACTGCTCCTGTGGAGAAGGAGATGAAGCTGATGCTGCAGACAGGACAGAAAGGCTTAGCAGTGGGACCTCGAAATTTTCACTCATGAAACCCCTGCCCAGGACTCACCTGCCTGCAACAGACAAAAAGCCACCCAGCACAGGAGGCCACCACTCATGGCAGGAGCAGGGCAGACGGAGGGGTCTTCTGAGTCCCTGTGCTGATGAAAGGGGAACAGTGCTCTCCAGGGAGTCATTCTGACGTGTCACTCTCCCTGCCTGGGCGCAGAGCCAACCTGTCACAAGGGACCACACCCCTTCCTCCAGAAGGTCCAATCAAAAATAAATGCACAAGGAACAGCTTAGAATGGGAAGCATGCATTTCTCTGAGTTGACACAAGTCTTACAAGTCGTTCTTAATCTTTTTGCAAAAGTTTGCAACTTTATGTACATTTATTTCTGATAGACTTTTTCATTAATACACTGGTTTTGCATATCTACATATCTCTGTAGTTTAGAATCTTAGGGAGAATCCTATGGCTTTCTGATGCCCTTTCTGACTCAGTCGTCTCAAATACCCCTTCAAGAATCCATTTCAGGGGCCAGCCTGGTGGCGCAACGGTTAAGTTCCCATGTTCCACTTCTCGGCGGCCTGGGGTTCACCCATTCAGATCCCGGGTGGCAGACATGGCATCGCTTGGCAAAAGCCATGCTGTGGTAGGCGTCCCACGTATAAAGTAGAGGAAGATGGGCACAGATGTTAGCTCAGGGCCAGTCTTCCTCCACAAAAAGAGGAGGATTGGCAGTAGTTAGCTCAGGGCCAATCTTCCTCAAAAAAAATAAAAAATCCATTTCCACTTTTCTTACTGACCAGAATCCTGTTGAGTTCCTTCTGCCTACAATGATTCTCCTGGTATCTGCTCACCAGACCTCAGGGGCAGGCTCATCAGCATTTGAGGACCCGCTTTGCTCTGTTTCTTATCAATTCATGACAGATGGGGCACCTGCCCACTGTAGCTAGAGCACCTTCATATTCGCCAGAGCACTTGCTTCCAGGGTTTCGGGCTGGACATCACCAAGCAGAGCAACCTCACACCTGTGACTGACCTTTCTCTGTGACAAGCTGATGGCTGCTCGGAGCTGCCGATGACCTCCTGGCACAAAGGAATACAGATGTGTGAGGGATTAGGGGGAGGTGGCAGACTCCAGGGTAAGTGAAAAGTGCTCTGTTCTTTATTTGGGACATCCATTCCATGGAGAATATCTCCTTGTGAAGAATGGCTGCCATTTATTAGGTAATAAATATCATCGAGCTCAAAAACTGCATCTTCTTGCACACAGCCCTGCACTTAGAAGGACTCTGTAGTTAGTTCACTGTTCTGTTGTCACGATCTTCAAATTCTTTACAATATTTGAACCATGGGTTATGCAAATTATGTAGCTGGTCCTGAGTACACGGTTTTGGACCTGTGGTCGCCTCCTGAGGTGCTGGCTTCCCTTTAGTAGAGCCACATGTCTGGGATCTGGGTGACTCCACATCTCTGGAGCCTTGGAGAGAAGGACACAGAAACTAGAGTCAGAACCAAAGAAGGAGCCCGATATTGTAACCACAACAGCAATCCTTGAATCTGGGGCCTGGCTAGCCCATGAGTGGGTTGCACCTCTGTGCCTGGACTTCTGTGGTCCAGGAGACAGAAGGACACACAGCAGGGGAGACTGGTACCCAGGCAAGGCCAGAACAGAAAGGAGGGTTTTCCAGCACAAGGCTCATGTTTTATAGGATGGATACTTGAGGTCAAGGCAGAGGAAACCCTTCTGCTGACGTGGAATGATCTCTCGATAAAGTCACTAGGGCCTGTGGTCTGCTCAGCCCACATATAGTGTGTGCGCATGAAGTCTAGCTACACGTGTGTCTGACAGGAACTCAAAATAATTTCCTTAGAGATGATCATTTTTTTTCAAAATATCATTATAAAATAATTTGAATGAATGAGTGCATAAGAAAACGAATGAATAAAAATGAGTAAGTAAATTTTATAAAAGCAGCTTTAACCAGCTAGAAATATCTTTTGATGGTCATTTTCTCAAACTGTCTATCTCTGGATAGAATTGTCCCTAATGTGGATCAAGGATCTCGCATGACTTCAAGGACTTCTTTAACTATAACACTTTCCAGGAGCCCCTAACTCTCTTAAATAGTTAGCTGTATACTAGAGAGGAATTGTTTTAATGGGTAGAGATTTTAAATTTCCATTAAAAAGATGCCTGAGCAAAACTAGTCTATAGCAATAGAAATCACATCATTGATTGTCAGCAATGGAGAGACCCTTGCAAAGGGGCCTGAGGGAACTTTCTGGGTGATAGAAATGTTCCAAATCTTCATGGGGTGGGTGTTACATGGGTATTTACATGTATATTGCTCAAAAATTATTGATCTGTTCATTTAAAGTGTATAATTATTGTATATAATTCCTATGTCATTGAAGTTGATTTAAAAGTGCCTGAGGAGAGATGTCTGTCATATCCTCTAGCTAATTTCATATAATGAATTATCAGGCGTAAATTTTTCCATTTCCAGATTCCAGTTCCAGATTCTGAAATATTGCACTATAGCTTTTTGTGCAAAAAGAGTCCATATCTACCTTTGCATAAAGAAATGGTGGAAGAGGCTGTCAAAGATGAGCAAAAGGAATCAGGATATCCAGATTCCTATTGTGTGCTGGGTACTTTATGCTTATTAAATATTTATACAACCCTGGAAGATGGTATGATGGCTAATTTAATGTCAGTTGCACTGGGCCGTGGGGTGCACAGATATTTAGTTAAACATCATTCTGGGTGTCCTCGAGAGGGTGTTTTTGGAGGAGATTAACATTTACATAGATAGATTTTAATACTAACTTAACATTTTAATCAGTAGAGTAAAACATTTTGCCTTTCATAGTGTAGGTGGGCCTCACCCAATCAGCTGAAGACATGAATAGAATGAAAAGACCTATCCTCCCGCAGGTAAGAGAGACTTGTCCAGCTGATGGCGTTCAGCTGCAACATCAGCTCTTCCTGCCTAAGAGCCTTCAGACTTAAACACGGGCTCTCCCTGTGTCTCCAACACCACCAGCCCAGCTTGCAGATTTTGGACTAATCAGCCTCCACAATTGTGTGAGCTAATTCCTCATAATAAATAGAATATATATATATATATATGTGTGTGTGTGTGTGTGTATATATATATGTGTGTGTGTGTATGTATATATATCCAGATATATATATATATATCTGGAGAACACTGAGTAATACGGATAGATATTGCTGCTCTCATTTTACACACAGAAAAGTTCAGCTTCACTTGTCAAGAAACTGGCCTCGGGTCTTGACTGGCAGCTAGTGTTGGAATTGACATCACAGCCAGGTGTCCATGGCGCCTGCTCAGGGCTCTTTCTCTGCACATTCTCTCCTGGGTGAACTGATCCCTGTCAATGATTTCATTAGGGCCAGGATGTCTGAGAGGTACATAGGGGACAGCATCCTGATTTTGAAGGAAGGCGTCTCTCTTCGTGAAAATGCGTTCTAGCACAGAGTTATAAACGTGGGGCTTAAGAAGGAGACAGGGCAGGGTTTGAGTTCCACTTCTGCATCATCCTAGTAGTTATTTAATTTCGAGAAATTATTTCACTCAAGGGCAAATTCCCTCATCTTTAAAATGAGAACCGTAATTGCATTTGCCTCTTAGGCTTTTTTCTAACTATTAATTGAAATTTTAAAAATGAAAGACTTTTATTGGGCATATAGTGAATTGTCAATAAATGATAGTAATACTTTTTTTCTGAGTCTTCTGCCTGGAGCAGAACTGAACTGTGTTTGTGCATTAATGTACTCAGGGCTCGCACTTCTGTAATGGACCTGCCCTCATGTGACAGGAGGTTTCCATAGAAACAGTCAAATGTTTAAGGTAAATACTATACATTTAATAATGCAGACCTTAGAATTCTCAAAGTCACAAAACATATTTTCCTGTTCTTTTTTTATGTGATGCAATATGTCGTACAAAGTAAGGGACCAAAAATGTCTGTTGAATAAAAGAAACTAAGGAAGAATTAATGATTATTTGTGTTCCTTCCCCTTATGGCAATTGTATCATGTACAGGAAGACACACTGTTCTTTGAGAATATCCCATTTCCTCTGCTGTGCAGCTGTGAAGGCAGATGTGTAAACGTCCCTACTCACACAGCCCCCATGAAAGGTAATACATCACCAAGGTCTATGCCACAGCTACAGGGCAGAAATTGTGTCTTTCTTTTTTGTTCCAATGAAGGATCAATGGATATGCTTTGCCTTGAAGTCATATGATCCTGAAGTTGGCATGAAATTCAGAGGTCATGATAATCTCATACGATGCATGACCTTCCCAGTCCTGCTAATCTGGCCCTAGAAAAGAGAAGCCACATGAGGGGACAGTTCTAGTGGAGGGGGACCACAGGTGTTGAGGAACAGACTTGAGTTTGATCCCTTGTTCTGCCAGTTATGAAATATGAAACCCAGGATAGTTACTTCCCCTCACATATTTAAACAGGGAAAATAATACTCATTTTGCATGATTTCTGTGAGTATAAAATATACCACATACAGAAACAGCAGGAAGAGTGTCAGTGGAAGGCCTGCCTGATATATGAGGGACTGAGTCTGTCTGTCTGGCAGCCGCCACCCTTGGTGTCACTTCCTGAGCTGGGGCAGGAAAGTTTTTGTGCTGTAGGCTGCTGATCATGCAGGGCTGTGCCAAGCTGCTGGCACAGAGATATAGGGCGGAGTCCACCAGCTCCAAGACACTCACCTTCAGCTCAGAGCTATAGTTACTGAACTGCTTCCCTGAGAATCGATCTGAGCTGTCTCCTCTGTCATTCTCTTTCTCATCGAAATACTGAATGAGGAACCGGGGTCCCTGACCAAGAACCTGTTGGTACCAGTACACATAGGGATGTGTAGATATAGGCGAACATCTCAGTGTCATTTGCTGTCCTTTTGCTTTGATCAGGTGTCTTGGGGTTTGGATGACTCCAGAATCCACTGGGCCTGTTGAGAGGAGACAGAAAGAAGCTGAGGGCACAGCATGGGGACAGCCTCCTGTTGCAGCCATCATTGGTGGGCTCCTATTTCAGGCATGGCAAACCCACAGCAGAGGCTGTCACCCTGTGCCCAGGACTCACCTGCTCCCAGGAGACAAAGAGCCACACAGCAGAGGAGCCTGGAGCCCATGGCAGCATCAGGAACCCAAGACGTCTCCCAGCTCAGGGGCGAGGGATCCTGGGGTGAGTGGTCTACAGTTGTGAACCTCCCGTTTCCGTGATAGGAGCATTTGCCTGTGAAGTCACTGCTCTGACGTCACTGCTCTGCTATTACTCTCTCTGCAGACACCTGGGCCCAGTGTCCCCCTGGGCAGCACCCAGAGTAGGTGACACTATGTGCCATTCCTGTCATGCAAGCCCCTCAACAAAGGGTGGATGTGAACTGAGCGCCATCCCCACAGCCCACAACATGCCTGATTTCCCTCTGCCTGCCCCTGCCTGACACCAATTACCCAGCCCTTGCTGCTCCAACCCCTTCACCATCCACTTCCTGTACAGGCTCCGGGAGACAGCCCCCTTGGTGCCCACTCAGGTTCAAGGCAGGTCTCCACTTCCCTAGGCGGTGAGGAGCCTGTTAGCTCCACGTGTCCCAGGACCAGTGAACCCAGTGAACTCAAACCCCCTACCTGATGCAGGCATGACCAAGAATTCTCTTAACTGGCCCCTCCTGGGCCACTCTGTCAACCCTCCCAGGGTGCCTTGCATTAAGGACTGTGAGTCCACAGTGCCTCCTTGTGGCTGAAGGTCCACGGTCTTGTGGATTTGCTCTTTCTGTCTAAGTCAAAAACAGAAATTCCCCCCAACCCCCACCCCACACCCATTTTATGCGCTCCCAGCCTGGCTGCTTTAGGGCTGATCTTCAAATCCACACTCAGCCTGTGGAGACAAAAGAGGATCCGAACCAAAATTTCGATGAAGAAGGAAATAATTGCTGATCCATTGCAATTGCTATGCTAAATGGAGGAAATAAGCCAAAATCATACAGGCCACAAAAATAAACTGTCTAATAATCTCAAGTGGATCCAGCCTGGAAACACTGTATTCCAGAGCTCCTCCTGATTAAGCAGATCCTTGTATTTCCACATTGTGTATTTAAATTAATTATTACCAAATTTTAGATAGTGCAATTTATGAGGAGGGTCTACGTATTTTATGCATTTATTTCTGAATTTATAAAATCTTGAGATAAACAACCCTGTCAGCCACAGTTAAGATAGACCCAGGTGGGCCTGACATTCACTGTCACTCCCCAGAACCTATGAGTTCTGCTCAGTGACCCAATGACTCTTAATAAATTCCACCCAGAGAGAAATTATTTCTGTTTCATGTATCTTCACAAGAAAACACACATGCAGTCATACACACAGACACACGCACACCTTTATTCTTTAAATGGCAAGGATGTCAAGGTTTTATTACCAGGCACAGCAATTTTCTTGATCAGTTTTTCAGGTTCATTTCTGAGAAAAACCCATCATGATGGCAAGAGATGTCTCTAAAGACGTGGTGGTGGCTCGTGATGGAAAATTCTTTACAGGACCATGGGACTGGATGAAGATTACTGTGGCACAATTTTCTCCCTTCCAGGAGAAGGTCAGCATATTCCAGCTTTAGATACAATTAGGGTCCTTTACAGGTCTGGTCGTCAGTCCTGGCTAAGAGAACCTGATTGCTCAGAACACTGCAGAAATGTATGGAAAGCCAAGACTATCCACAATGACTACCCATTATATTACAGAGAAGAGGAGATTATTGTGAAGGGAAAATAGTGAATAACAATGCTCCACGACTCTGTATCAGTGGGCATTAATTTAATCATTTCACAAATGTCAAAGATTATCAATTATATATTTGATTTTCCTATGAAAGTAAAAGAAAGGGAGAAATTTAGTTATGGATGGAATTGTGTCCCAAAAATTTCCATGTTGAACTCATAACCCCTAAGGTGACTGTATGTGAGGATAGGGCCTTTTGGGAGGTAGTTAAGGTTAAATGCTGTACTAGGGGTGGGACTCTAATCCTACATGACTGGTGTCCTTAGAAGAAGAGGAAGCGAAACAGAGAGACCATGTGAGCACACAGCCAGAAGGAGACTGTCCGCAAATAGGAATAGAGTTTTCACCAGATGCCATCCCTAGCCCCTTGATCTTGGACTTCTACCCTCCAAAACTGTGAGAAAATAAATTTTTGTTTAAGCCATGCAGTCTACAGTGTTTTGTTACGGCAGCCTGAGCAGACTAATCAACAGGATAGCGCTGTAGACTGTCAGGGTGAGAAGCAAAGAGGAAGGAACTTCTGAGCCGGTCCTTGAAAGATGAATCCTGTCTGTCTGTGTTTGGGGTGATGGGAGGAGCCTTCCAGGCCATGAGAACTGCAAGAGCAGATGTAGAGGATTTAAAAGGCATCGGTGTTGTAGGAAATGTGGCACAGAGCTCTTAGGTCACAGAGTAAGCTGCATCCTGAGACTGCCAAGAAGGGATGCTCTGGAGGTAACGGAATCTGGGGGTGAAGAGTTAGAAAGCCATTCCAGAGAAGCAGAATTTATCTTTGGGAAGTTGGAGAGCCTCTGCCTGCTTATAATCAGGGAAGGCATGCCCCCATCTGTGTTTTGGGAGGTACTTCACTGTGCCCGAAGAGGCAAGATTGGGGTGAGAATTCAAGAAGAAAGGAGTCAGAATCAACTCCAGGGTTTTCACACCATCATCTCATCATGTGGGTGGCAATGTCCTCACCTGGGAGCGGCCGCTGGGTGATGCCAGGTGCTGTAAAGCCCTGCTTTATGTCTTCTGGGTACTGAAGACTTTGGGAGGTTGGGCAAAGAGATCAGGTTACAAATAGCACAGTTGTTGTTGTTTTAATATCTAGTAGCTCTATGTCTATTTTTAACCATCTTTAATTACATATTCTCTCCTAAACTTTCCCAAAATCTGTTTCATTTCCCTAAATTATATAAAGCAAATCCCTGTGACTCTATCTTTTAGGCCATATATTTATGAAACAATTTTGATCTCTAAATGAACTCTCCCTCCCGGAAAAAGAGAGTGCCAGCTACAAATTACAAACCCTCCCCGTACCCTGTAGCATAAAGGGCCAGGCGAGGAAGGTGATTTTGGAGTGAAGCTACTGATGTAGTGCCATCCTCTGAACAGAGCTTCTTGTCCTCTGCTGTCTCATGTCCCTGAGTGGCAGAAGAGCTTGAGGCTGCACTTTCCAGGGCCCTAACTCATTCTCCTCTCCCACTGCAGCCCCGAGGTCCTCACAGATCTGTCAGCTCTGAGCTTGTTCCATGCTGGGGCAGGGAGGTTTGAGCACAGAATGCTGATGACTCTGCAGGGCTCTGCTGCGCTGCTGGCTCAGAGATACAGGGCCGAGTCCGTCAGCTCCAGGACACTCATGTTCAGCTCAGAGCTATAGTCACTGAACTGTCGCCCTGAGAATCAATCCAGGATATCTCCTTTTCCATTCTCTCTCCCCATGTAATACTGAATGAGAAACTGGGGGCCCTGGCCCAGTGCCTGTTGGTACCAAGATACACGGGAGTGCCCAGAGATGGGGGAACATCTCAGTGGCACTTGCTGTCCTCTTGCTTTAATCAGGTGTCTTGGTGTTTGCACGACTCCAGAATCCACTGGGCCTGTGAGCGAAGAAGACAGGGACTGGAGAAAGAACACAGGAGGGAGCCCAATGGTGCCTTGGATTCAGGTGCTGTCAGGCTTAGAATGGAGATGTCCCACCATACCAAGGAAGTACCTGTTCCCAGGAGACAAAGGGCCACATAGCACAGGAACCTGGAGCCCATGGCAGGGTGGGGCAGAACTGGGCAAGCATCTCTCTGCTCAGAGTTCTGGTCCCCTAAGAGATGAAGTCCTGGGCATCCCTTCTCTGATTCCAGATTAGGTAGTGATGTCATGGCTCTGATGTCATTGTCTCCTCTGGTTCCTATGGGCCTGGCTTCCCTTGCCATGTCCCTGGCTCAGCCGATCCAGGAACATTGCTTTGTCCCGCAAAGCTTCTTCCATGACACATGGGGCTGGACTGGGCTGGTCTAGGCTAGACCGGTTTGAGGCATCATGCCCATCCCCACAGCTCTTTTGCTTTTCCTTTGTAGCCGGTGTCCCTCTACCTGTCCCTGACTGGGGCATGCTGGCTGCCTCCTCTGAGGTCCCCACCCTTCACTTTCCCTTCCAAGCTCAGAGAGACTCCCTCACCACTGCACAGATGAAGTTCACGGCTCCAGGTCAGGACAGCACATTCCGTGAATTAGTATCTCTACTAGTAAGCCTTCTAGGGGATCAAAGCACCAAACAGGGCTGTTCCTTAACCCTCCTGGTCCCAGACACCTGGTTCCGCCCCAGAAACTTTTGGAGCTCCGCAGTTCCACAGTGTCCCCATGTGGCCTATTGGGCTGTAACCAAGATTTTGTCTTTGCTGTGAAGCAAGAGACTTAATGTGTGTCTAAATTAGAAACTATTTCACCAGTGCCTATTGCACTATTTTTGTTTTGTTTTGTTTTGTTTCCTAGAGGTACAAACCAGATGCGCGCGCACACACACAGAACCCCAGCCCTTACTGATTTTGGATTTTGCATTATAAGGGGAAAAAAAATCTGGTCAAGGAGGAATATTTTGCCTTTGGGAAGATCCTGATGATGGAGATGGTGCAAACCTGGCCTAAGTCAGGTCAGGCTGCTAAAGAGGAGCCATGGCAGAGATTGCTGAGAGACAGTCTATCTTTATTCCTGCAGATGGACTCCCAAGGATTTTTGGATGATTAATAGTTAGCTGAAGTTGCTTTTTCTTTGTGACTCCAGACAGCTTGCTCAAGGTAGACCTTTCAGACAGGCCTCTGTGCAAGGTACCCCCTAATAAGCTTACCCCAAAATAAAGAAAATAATCCTCACTGTTCCCATACTGCTGGAGAATTTGTTTCTCTCTCTTCTATCCTTTCCCTTTAGAAATCCTCTTTTGCCTCTGTTAATTGATGATAATATAATGCCCATTTCCCCGTATATGAATCAACCTGTATGTAGTTAACTGATTATGTTTCTCTAAGTTTTTCTTTCATGCCCAAGTAGGAAATAAAATATTCTAACCCTCTACTCTTGGGATGCTAGGAAGGAAAGGCCAGTCTGGTTTAATGTAGGATAACAAAATAAACAGGGAACTTGGGAAAATAGAATCTGAGAAGGACTCAGTTCCAGAACCAGTATCTTCCATTTGCTGCTTCTGACTAGTTTAATTCCGATCCAAATGTCTTTAACTGTTTATTTTTGACTTGTCCTTAAATTTTAAGTAGTGCATTATGTAGAATGAATATAGATATTCTAATGTAATCTATTTCTCGACTTTCAAAGTTCAAAGGCAAACAACCCCATCAAGTACCACTGAGAAGAGACCCCTGATCTGGCTGCATCTGACATTGACAGTCACTAGTTGTTGTGCCAATAACCTATGGTCAGTGACCAGCACCTCTTATAAGATGCCACCGAGAAGAGGAAAAGTCCATCCTGAGTAAATCTCCATGGATATAAACCAGATGACGTTATCTCAAGTCCATGTGGCAATGTTCTGTAACTGAATATTTTTTATGAATTTTGCATAGACATAACTCATCAAAAACCTTTTATAATAGTAGCTGATGAGTCTTTTATTCTTTCTGATGGTAGATAAGGAAAAGTTTCTACACAAAATCATAGAAATATAAGCTATCAGTATAAATCATACTGAGGAAGGTATATTTCTCTGCTTTAAGAGGAATACCGGGCATTTTTCCACTTCAATTAGATAAATTTGTTGGATTGCCCATCATTCCCTTTCTATAAAAAAGCAAACACAGTATCTAAGATTGCTTCAGAGATGACTGAAACTCTGTGATAAATAGCCATTATTTGTAAGACAAGAGGAATTCAGCTGACATTATAAAGATGCGTAAGATATGAGAGCATTGGCTTCTGGATCATTCTAAAATTGCAAACTAGCATCATCTCTGGGCTCTTTCCTCAGGGGAGCTTGATAGGACAAGAAGCAAATATGAATAGTAGAGACCAACCAAAAGCCATGAAAATCTTCTGGAAAGACTGAAGCTGTTTGGGGCTGGAATATGAGTAAGATGACAGGTGAGTCCAAGACTGCAGTGAGAAAACATGATAGTAGAAATCCCTTAAGCTCTGCTCTTGCTGACTCCTCTGCTTTGAGACATTTTATCTACATTTTTATGGCAGAAATCTCTAGAAGATTAACTGATACCACTAAAGGACTCCAAAAGAAAGATAACTAAATGTATAATACGTATCCCCAGAAAGTGAATTATTGAACCAGATGAACCAAGAATTTGAAACAAGCATGCTAAATATACTATGTCCAGATATGCAGTATAAACAAGAATGTAGAAGATATCTAACCCATAAGAATGTAAAGGGTTGATTTATTGGAGATCTTCACAGTAGCATACCTAGCATATTTTACATCAGTATTTCCAACTGTTTTACTATGAGGAAGAATGTTCATGTTGTCTGACTGTCTAAGAGGAGACAATGCTTCATGTAAACACTACAAGTTTTTGTCCAATAGGAACTAATATATGCTATTATTTTCCTGAAATAATGACTCCTATCGTCAGGACATTTTTTTCCTGTTTTCATAAAAACAAGATTTCAGCTAATAAATTTAGAATCCTGATAAGATCTGTGAAGCTCTATCTTCTTTAAAAACTAGGTGAAATTTTCTAGAGCACATAAATTACCAAAACTATGACAATCCAAAGACTTTCAGAGATTTCTGACCATTCCCATGGATGTTTGTATTCTCCAGGTCTTCTCTAACCCTGTCATATCACCTGGCAATAAGCTAAGCTTCTTTAATTTCCTCAGCAAAATCATGCACATCAAGTGTTGGTGAGTTTAGTAGAGTCTGAAGAAGATTTGGGAAGTGCTATAAAGGAATCACAGGATGAACAACACAGATTTTCACCATTAACCTCCCATCCTTAATCATTACACCCCCTCTCAAGACTTCCCAGAATCTCAAAATGTTCTGTGTGTATTATATAGAATGATGCCATTGAGGTTTACCTTCCATATCAAGCACTTATATTAAAATATTCTCATCAATAATACTTTTCTCCCTAAGAAATAGGGTACAAGCTAGTAAGACTCTAAAATTTAATTTTTCTACATTCAAAATTATAGTTAACTAATTCTTCTTTCTTGAGTGGAACTCATCTTTATTTTAAGACTATCTTGCCTAAATTCTAAATTTTAAACTTCTCTTTAATTTTATGATTGTGAGAAAAATATATATATATATATCCTAAAACTTACCTATTTTAACTCTACAGTTTAGTGGCATTGGCTGCATTCACAGTGTTGTGCTACCATCACCACTATCCATCTCCAGAACTTTTTTATCTTCTTCAACTGAAACCCTGTACCCATAAAACACTAATTCCCCATTCCTTCTCCCACCCAAGCCTCTAGAAACCACCATTCTATTTTCTGTCTGTATGAATTAGACTACTCTAGATACCTCATACAAGCAGAATTATACAATATTTGTCCTTTAGAGTCTGACTTATTTCACTTACCTTAATGTCTTCAAGTTTCATCCATATTGTAGGATGTGTCAGAATTTCATTCCTTTTTGTATTGCAGTAACATTGCTTTATAACATTATAAAAATGTCAGTTGTAGATGATTATATATTTCAATTTCTGTGTAGATTACATCATGTTCACCACCCAAAAACTAACTATAGTCCATCACCACACGTGAACCTAATCCTCCTTTTAGCCCTCCCCCTCCCCCCTTTTCCTATGGTAACCACCAATCCAAGAGGTGATGACATGTTCTACATCTTGATTAGAGTGGTGTTGCTGGGTGCTTCCATTTAACAAAATGTGTGTAATTAATGTTTAATGTTATGCATTTCACCACCTGTAATAAAAAATTTATCCCCCTAGCCAGAATCAACAATCAACCTTCCAAACAGGATTTTTTTCTAGAGTTACTTGTGAAATATGCATGTTATCTGATATTCACAGAGCTGTTTACACTGTAATTACAAAAGAAGCTCGTATATTCGTATCCAAAATATACCAATTCTTAGGCCTAACATCCCAGTATTACCAGCAAGTGCAGCCTTACCCCAAGGTTTGATTCCCTATATGATCCTAAGGGGCCCCAGGATTGTATATTGCTCCTGAGTCACCTTATGCTTTAGGCTAAACCCCACAGGGATCCACTCAGGGATGTCACCATCCGCTTGTTGCCTCAGGGACGTGATTTCCTCCCAGCTTCCTGGAAATCCAGACTCCTGCTGCTTCCAGGGGTTAGGACTGGGGTAGGCATGGGGGTGCTTAAGACTGTATACTGTCCCCAGTACCCTGTTCTCTGCATTTGTAATCATCAGTGGAGGGCTCTGCCTATGTGCTCAGCCCTTAGTCGTTCCTCCAGGGAGAAGGGACAGTGCTCTTTCACTCAGGGTCGTCCTGTTAGGAAATCCCCCAGCAAAACTCCATGGGCTCCTGTTACCACAGCTCTTAACAGACATTTCTCTCATTCCCCACAGCTGTTTTCCCCAAGATGGAAGCCTCTTCCTGTTCAGGACTCTGAGATGAATTCAAGGGAAGGGACACAGGTGGGGTAAACACATGTCCCACTTTATGTCTGTTGTCCAAGTGTAATTATTAACAGCACCACTCTCACTCCACAAGGTGTTCCACTATGATAATAAATCATACGGTCATCCTAAAAATATAGGAATATATATCTCCTCCTAATTTTGCGTGTTCTGTCGGTGGTGTTTCTGTCTTAGTAGCACCAGTGCACCCTTTCTAGAGGGGTTGGTGATTTCATGGCACGAAGGAGAGTTCTTTGACTCGAGTAGGCTGATGCCTGCATCATATATGACCCTGTGATTGATTCTTCCTCTGAGACCCATGGTGTCCCTATGGTGCACGAGCCACACTTTCTGTATCTTGGGGTAAGGTATCTTCTGTCTAAAGAATGAATGAATGAGCAAATGAATGAGTAAATAGGTATACCAGTGAGCCAGTCTCCACTAGAAGATGGAAGGCACGTTTTGCTAAATAAGAAATACCAATGACAGAGACCAGAAGGGGATACAGATATTCCTCTGTAGGCTCCCCTGGTCACTCAGTGGCCACATCTGTCCTGTCCTTAGGGTCCACAGCCACCTTCTGTGGTACCTGAGAATATTTGCTGCATACCACAGCCCCCAGATATCCCTCTGCAACATTTCCTATTCTGCAAATCAAAGTTAACTTTTGACCTCTGCTCCTGGGAAGCAGCTGCAGCCCCAACCACACACCGCTCATCCCTCTCAGGCAGGCAGGGCTGCTGAGAGCCTGCGGGGAGCAGGGAAGCTGCTGAGTTTATGTGAGGGCAGGACGTGTCTTTGCAAGGCTGTGGCTAAGCTGCTGGCACAGAGATACACAGCTGAGTCTCCCAGCTGCACAGGCTGGATCTTCAGAGTGAAGCGCGATCCGTCAGGCATCTCAGCTGAGAACCGGTCCTTCAAAAAGTCTGCCTTCTCTGAAGGAACCTTGTTATAGACAGAAATCAAAAACTCCACTCCCTTTTCCAGGGTCTGTCGGTACCAATAGAAGTAAAAATGACTAGAAATGGGCTCACATCTCAGAGATATGTTCTGTCCCATCTCTCTGATATAGTGGCTAGGAGTTTGGCTGATTCCAGTTTCCATGTGTCCTATGGGAGGAGACAGAGGCCAGAAAGAGGATGAGGTAGAGTCCGGAACTGGCCTTAGGTAAAAGGAATGAGATGGAAATTTCCCAAGCACTCCCAGGACTCACCTACTCCCTGGACTCACCTACCCCCAGGAGACCAAAGATCACACAGCAGAAGAGTCTGCTGTCCATGGTAGGGCTGGGGTGGGGCTGAGGCCAATCCTGGTGGGGCATCTGGTCTTAGCAGTCCAAGGGAGGAGACCCTGTGATTCTCAGTCTCAGGCAGCACCCACAGACTCAGGAGCACCCCCAAAGGAAGAGAGTAGAGCATCTTAGTGCCTGCATAGAAACATGATGCCCTAAGTTTCAGTCTCCAATGTGTCCTGGAGCATGCAAGCCCATAGGCCTCGGGTAAAATACTGCAGCTGCAGAGAGACCCTTGGAGTATAGGGGCTTCAGGACAGCTAGGCCGGGCACGAACACTTGAGTAGACAATTAGGGCACACTCTCCTCTCTAACTACCAATTCAGAGCCACAATCCAGAGGCAGTGACTCTAGGATTCATAGTTCTGAGCCTGATGATTTAAAACTTTGGGAATAAAGACACCAATGGAAAAGGAAAAATGACCCTACAAGTGTCAGCATGGAGAGGGAATCCAGTGAGAAGCTGAAATCTGAATCCTAAACACACATTTCAGTGCAAGGGAAGGAGAGCTGATGAGAAAGTAAGTACCCAACCCCGTACGCGTTAGCTCTGAACCCAGGGGACCCGGGACCCCTTGGCTTCCTGTGGGGTCCAGAGAAAGTGTGTGTAGATTTGGAGCTTTGACCAGGGCTAGGGATTGGGGTCTAGCCTTGAGTGGAATAAAGAAAAATCAGAGAACAGACAAGGTGGATGACGGAATAACAGAATTGGTGAAGATAGAGAGACACATATTTCTCAAACCCGTATCTTAAAGGCTGGATCTTCTCCTGTCCTTTGCAGCTGGCTCCAGCCCTGGGACCCTGCCTGGGAGTCCCTTCTCTGATTCCCCAAAGTTCAGGGCTGCCTGACCCTGTGTGGTAACAGCTGTGGCAAGAGAGCCTCCTTGGTTCCTGAGGAGAGAGGCTCAGAAACTGTGGGATCTGCAGTCCCAAGCAACACGCCTCCTCACAGGGCTGCACTCTTGTCCTCTGCTCCACTGTAGGGTGTGACTTGTGGGGACACAGGTGTTTGTTGAGAGGATCCCGTGAAACCTTAAATCAAATGATCCACTTTACAGCAGGCTTGTTTGTTTCATGATAAAAGAGACATTAAAAAAATGCTAGATCCAGACATGTCTATCTTTTAACCAGTTGACGTGGCAGACTCACACCCCAGTAAAAGGTAATCACACTCTAAAGATGTGCATCGAGTATAGAGTTGCCACATCCCTTGAGCTGGCAGGCAGCACTGTGGTTTGAAAATTGTTAGAGTCCCCACTGTCCCCAGAGTGGAGGGAGCTTTTGTGTCAGTGCTCACCCACCCCAGAACATATGGCTCTGCTCAGCCCCTGGGGTCCACTGGTGTTTGTAAGACTGAGGGCCATTAAAAGGAGCAATGTGGGAAGATACTGTGTTCAGTAAAGACATCCCGAGTACAAAGTCTTGCTCTGAAATGTCAGGAGGCCGTCACTTCTCACTGCCTGTTATGAACAACAATCCAAGGGTTTCAGGTGTTGATGATGGTGCAGGATGTGAAGACCTGAGGAATTAGGATTAGAGAGACAGAAGGAAAAAGAATCAAGCCTGGAAATGTGGAAGAGAAACCAGTGAGGGACCTTGAATGAGCAGAGAGAGTGAACCAGAGAACAGTGATCCAAACCAGGTAAGGGGACTATTGTCCTCATTGGGAGGAACAGACAGAGCACTTGGTGAGGGAATGAAGTGTTTTGAAAATGGTCTTAGCATATTTGGAGCTGGGATCAGGGTTGAAGTCCAGGGTCTAACTAGGATGGAAGGAAAAGTCAGAGAAAGACACCTACTGGAAGGAGGATTGGTAGGACTGCTGTGACCAGAGTGTAAAGTGTCTCATGAAAGATTTCCTAGGGTGTAAGTTGTTCGGAAGATTCTTGGAAGAACTTATGGTTAAACACGTCTGTCCTACTTTCATCTGCATGCACCGCCTTGTTCAAGACAAAGCCAGGCAGCAGACTGTTAGCACCTGTGCATGGAAATTAGCATTGGCACGTCCAGTGAATTGACAGCAGTATTATGGTCTGAGATTTCTGTCTAGGTCCCTCCAGGAAATGTTGGACTGAGCCTTGGCTTCCTCTGCAGCTTCTTGGCTGGACGCAGGGGGTTTGTGCACAAGGACAAGCTGACTCTCCAGGGCTGTCTCTTTGCTGCAGGCACAGAAAAACACAGCAGAATCTTCTGTTTCCAGGGTGTCCACGTGAAGGTATGAGAGGGAGCTGTTTGGACATTCATGTAAGAAGCGACTTGGAGCAGTCTTGTTCTCCACAAGTTCCTTATAGTTGTAGAAACATGAGTTCCAGTGGTTCCTGAGCACTCTGTTTATCCCAATACATAGAATTATGTCCCAGATGTTGTTCACATTTCAGAGACTTCTTATTTCTCATTCCCATGACCAGGTGTTTTGTGGTCTGAGTAAATCCACTAATTCCGCTGGGACTGTTGGAGGAAAGGGACAAAATTCAGACAAAGCCCAGAAGGAAGAGTGTTGCTGCAGCCACAGGAAAATGACTTAAAGTCCAAGGGCAGCCCATTTGCTCTCAGGTGACAGAGGGCCACATAGCAGAGCAGCCCTCAGCCCATGGTGGAGTCAGGGCTGTGGTGGCCTGTCTAACTAGGATGCCCTGGGCAGGGGGGCTGGGCTCTGGTCTCCTTGGCCTTGATTAGTGGTTTTCCCTGTGATATTGCTCTCCTAACAGGTTCCGCAGCCCCAGGGACTATTTCTTCCCCTCCTGTTCACACCTTATATAGATTCTGATAGAAGGTGGATTTGAATGGACTGGACTGGGATATTCCTCTGACAGTTGTTCTTTTGCTATTAGCTGGCCCCCTCATTATAAAGATTCTCCCTCTGTCCCCCTCCCTTCCAAGACCCCTTCTCGGTGACAGACGATTTCCCCCTCAAGGGATTTCTTTTCCTCTACTCAACCACACAGGACAACAACATTCAACACATTATTTCCCTCAGTGTCTAAACTCGATAGAGGGCCTCTGCCCCGCTATGTGGAGAAAGAAAGACTAGACGATTGTGGTCCCTTACTGGACCAGTGCCCATTATCAAGCTGCATGACTAGGATGCCCGCCTCAGCCAGATGCTGGGAAGGGTGCCAAGGGGACCGTACAAGAGATAAGCCATCCTCTGCCCCTGTAGTTATGGTTACCGGGCTTGGCCCAGCTGACAGCAAACAGGTTGCTGAAAGAGGACAATATGTTAAAAAAGCAAAATTCAACTGAGTAAATTTTAAAGATTTTATTGGCGTTATTCAATGATTCATAAATGGGACAGCATTCAATCTAGCAGATAGAAAGGGGCTCTGAGGAGCGGTACAAAGTGAAAGAATTTTATAGGCAGAAGGGAACATGAACAAGGAAGTTAGACTAGCAAAAAATGGGTTGGTTTAGCAAGGTCACTTTCCTTTAGGGGATGGCAGGTGTCTATCAGGCAGATTACCTCACTAGTGTGGACCAGGTGATCCCTGATTGACTAGTTTAAAATTCCAGTTCTGGGAGAGCAGAAATTGTAATTCAGTCTTGGTCTGGTGTTGTGGCACTTAGCATAAGAAACTCCATTTTGGGCCTGTTGTTTTGTGTTTTAACAAACACAAAGCATCTGATGCAATACAAAGGGAAATCAATTTGAAAATGATTTCAGTTTAATATCTTTGAGATGTCTACGACTGATGCTCCCAACTGATATAAAGAGGGATCCCCAATGCCCTCACCTCCTGCCTCTCTCATCCCCCTGTTCACTCACAACGCCAACCCCCTCTCCAGCCTCAGAGGTTTCAATAGAGCCACAACACCTCCTTGTGGTCAAAGCAGCATATTTCCCAGCTCCCAGGGCTCTTACCAGCCCAGGCTCAGCAATCCAGACCTATCCCTCATTCCAGAGATGGGGGCAGCTGTGATAGGCATGAAACTCTAGGGAAGTGTGAAGAGGAGAGAAGCATCTGAAACAACAGAAAGAGTTGGCAACAAACCACTCGTCCACACACCTAGGACACGCGACTTTACTCACCAGAGATGGGCTATGTCTGGATTCTTAGCCACGAGCAAAACAGATATGATCACAGCCCCTGTGGGGTTTATAAGCAGCCTGATTTGTTCAGCAAATGTTCATTGAGCCACAGCTCTGAGCAACCATAAAACATCATCATGTTCACCCACAGAATTCTATTGTAGTGGAGCACTTAACGTGGTCACAGATGCCACTAGAGAATAAAATGGGTCCTATATGAAATTTAAGAAATGTCTTCCACACTTCAGTGTTTAATGACATCATATAGGTGACAGTATTTCCTCAACTGTTACAGCAGGTGACTGACATGAAATGGGCTCCAAAGCCCTGTCCCTTTCTCAACTGCTAGAAACCAAATCAGGCCCCTCAGTTCCACAGAGCTCTCCAGTGTGGACCAGTTGGGATGACCCATCAGGAGTCATTTCTACTTCATTATGTAGCTACCTGTTTATGCTCTTTGCCCGTTTAGTTATTGGAACTGCTTTTTTTCCTTAAAAGGTACTGTTATACCACTATTGAGTTTTAATTCTAGAAAATTTGAAGATATGAATAAACACAAAAATGAAATGATCTATAATTCCTGAACGATATTTACCATTTATGCATTATTATTATGTTAGATACTTAGAGTCAAAATGGAATAACAAGAATCTATATAACTCTATGTTGGGGAGAGGGAGGGTAATTACACATGCTTTAAGTCAAGAGTGGATAATTATTATCGTTTTTAACCCAGGGATGTGCTGTGTCAGGAGGAAAATATTAGCACATTTCTAATGTGATAAATTTTTTCAGATTTTCCATATGACCCATAAAACAAAAAATGTAAAGATATTTGTGTTGGAATTTAAACAAAGGGGTAGGATATTCTCTCCCTGAACAGGTCATGTACGTGATGAACCTCCAATCCACTACAGTTGGAGTTATTCTGTTCTTAGATAAGAACCTAAAATTAACCCTAGTTAAAAGCATTGTTACTATTAAAATTATTATGATGGACATCCACCACAGCAAGAAGACACTCTGATTGGCTTTCTCTAATAAAACAGCAAAAACATGAATAAATAAAATTTTATTTCATTGTTGGCT